GTGGGCAAATTTACCAAAATATCCAATGATGAAAACTTATCAATAATATTTTCGTTAAGTCATGGGGCTTGTCTGCTCATTTCACACTTTGGATGTGCTAAAGTCATTAGGCCCATAATGATTTATGGTATTTTATTATTAGACGGAATCACAAAAAATGGGTATATCAAAAAGTTAGAGGGTGAGCAGAGAATAGCATGTCTGCGTATAACTAGTTAAGATTCTAAACCTCTATCCGACTGGCTTAGCTACAAAGGACTTGGTGAAAAGGTCAGCACTAGTACTGAACATGACGAGACAGTTAACACAGTGACTGTTTGGTACAGCAACTTGCAACAGCAGACGGAAACCTCCGACTATTTCCCTGGGTCAACTTTGAAAAGGGACCGAAGGTAGTAATGGAGCAAGACCGGCTGAAGAGGAACTTTATTCCATTTGCTACAAGTCTTTGTAGCTATGATTACTAGCCCAATGGGTGCTCGAACTCAAGGGGATAGAGAGAACGAGCTGGCAGATGAGATGGCTAAAATTGGGCAAGCTTGTCTCATGAAAAAAAGTACCATTCTCAACTTTTTCTTGTGCACTGCCTCATACTTAGACCTTATCGTTAAACTTTTTTGCCATTTGCGTTTAGTATATTACGACCTACCTACCTTGCGCTGTATCTTTTTTCTAACCGAAGAATATTCCGCACTTTGCCAGTACGATCAGTGCCCCAGTATCGGACGGCTTCGGCTCTTCCAGTAGCACCAATGCCCCTGGTATCACACACTCCTGAAGAATATTGCTCTTAAAAAACTAATTACGATTAAGATCTGAAAAATTACTCCTCCATACATTTCCCAACACCGGCCACCGGGAATTGGTCTATTTGAGGTCTTATCGATAGTCCAAGCTAACCTAAGTCATAGTCCGCTTGGTCTTTTTCACACATAAGTAACCATCATCTTCCTCTGCTATCACAAGCGGATTGAGAGCTGAAGTATCTATTTCTGAAAAAGCCGACATCGGTATGTGAAAGATAGTTTGAGAGTATCTTAATCCTGACTATTCAAAAAAAAGCTGATATTAGCTCCAAGTCAAAAACGTGTAAAAGAATAAAAGAAATGAGATAATTTTAATTAGCAAATCGCAAATAAATAATCAAATTGATGTTTGGATTGAAAGTTCTATTAAGTTCTAAATAACATAAATTTATTACTTGTTTGAAGAATAAAATCATGAATAAAATTTATTTTAAATAAGAAATTTAATTTTTTTGTGATTTGATTCGTCAACCAAAAAAAAATTTATTATTATCAATTTGATTGATGACTGTCCAACTTAAAAATACTTTTCTTTTATACAAGGCTAGCACGAATTTAGAGTTTTTCAATGCAACTCTAATCACAAATAAGTTTTATTTTTTCGACGAATCAAATGACAACTAAATTTTATTTTTTTATCTGTCCAACGAATCATATCACAACTAAATTTTATTTTTTACTTAGCAGACGAATCAATTCAAAAATCAAATAGATTTCTTAATTTAAAGCGGATTTGAAATCAAAAAGGATTTTAGATCACGCAAACCTGGTTATGGCTCGCCTCATACTGCCGTCTATACTCTTTTTGTATTTATTTTATTCTTGTATTGAATTTTTTTTTTTGTTCGCAGGCTTAAAGTATTTCGGAAATTTGTATGTATAGAAGAAAAAGAATAAAAATTAAAAAAAAACTCAATACACCCCCTTTTCCATACATAAATGTTGAGCTCATTTCCCAATTTAAACGAATAATATCTGACATATTTTCTTTATCTGCATACTCAAAATTTTCCACCAACACTAAGTACCACTTAAGTGTCACTCATATTTATTACATTAGCAATAATTTCCACTTAAACAAAACACCAAAAGAGTTGGAAATATAAATGTTGAAGATTTTAAACAGAAAATAAAAGCAAAAATGCACTAAAACTTCAAAAGCAGCTGTTAAATCGCTTACATATATCCAACTTACTAATACATTCAACTCCCCTCCCAAAAATGTACTTTTGCACTTGAGCCATGAATTATGCTGATTACCATAAATACATAAAACATGCACCACAGCACTTCACAATTTAACAGAATGCAGAAACCACAAACAAGCGAAGTGAGCATTCATGGCCCGGCCCGCTCCCGCCAGCGAAGGCAAGTAAAGTGCAGCAGCGCTAATGGGTGCAGGGGGAAAAATCGGAGTGCTGCTGTAGTGGGAAATGGAGAAGTAAGCCGCAGAGTTATGCAGTTATTGCACTTTTCTTGCTTGGTTTTTATGTTTTTTTTTTGTTTCTTCCTTTCTTTCTTCTTATTGTCAAGAGACCCCAAAAACCAATTTGTAACGATTGCCATTCATAATTTTTAATTGCCTTTTCAGCCACTTGAAAGCATCAAAATAACAAATTCGTTTATTGGACGACTGCAACGTCGACAGCGGCAGCGGTGAAATTAATATTTATGCACTTTTTTCATAAGTATACCTACTTACATACATATGTATGTATGTCTATTAGGGTGGTCATTAAAAATATTAACATCTAAATATTTTATTTGGCGCATCCGCGAAAATTTCAAAATTTTAAAAATTGGTTGGGGTTGCGGGGTTCGGAGAATTTTTTTTTTTTTTTTTAACAGAAATTCGACAAAATTTTCGACGTACAAAATAAAGACACACACCAAAAATTGCAAAATTTTAAACAAATTTTTTAAGGGTCGCTAGCAGGGTTTATAGAAATTTATTTTTTTATCCCAAAAAATTCGAAAACATGTTGGCTTAAAATCTGTTAAAATTGTCATATTATTGAAGGCTACCCATACAAATTTATAAGCATACTGAATTCTAGTTGGTCAAAGTAAAAATTTTTTTAAGAATTTTTGCTATTTAAAAAATTTGAATTTTTTCAAATTCTTGTAGATGTCTTTATTTTGCATGTAGAACAAAAAAAAAGGTGTGCCCAATCATGTTGATATTTTCAAAACCACCCTAATGTATGCATATGCAGATATGTTTTTATAGAGAGTGGGGTTATTGCCACCGTATTTAACCACAATTCCCTGCCACTTAAGTGGTGAACTGTCAAAATTAGCTTTACAGGCAAAAACTGTTCGAAACAAATGAAACTACTTTTACTACAAAAATGTATAAAAAAGTAGTTCACTTTGTAAAAAACTAGGTGCTTCCTTCTATTTAATTTTACCTTTCCATTTATAACGCCGAAATGTTAATTTCTATTGCAAACAAAAGTTTGACGCCTCAACGCAGACAGACACATAAGAAATTATAGAGCCCAACCTATCGGCCATTGACTGCAGTGAGGCAACACTATAGTAATAACGAAAACGCTTGTCAGATAACTACTGTCAATTGCTATATACATATGTACAAATGTATGTTTGTATGTATGGGGATATGTAGATATGCATTCATATATGTATATGTATGTACCTATCAACTACGACCACTTAGCCGTCCGGCCTTGCCTTATAAAGTGTAATTTTTTAATGTGCACCAAAAAGTTGTACCAAAATTTTAATTGAAAACTGCAGCCGCTGCTTATCAGCTTACAACTATCTATCAGTCAAATGCATGCGTAAGAGTGTGTTGCTCTATACACTGAAAAAAACACTAGGCACTAAGGCCGCCTAGTGGAAAACTAGCAATTTACCGCACGATTGAAACAGTTGACTGTGTGCTGTTATAGATATGTATACAGTTTCACATTTACCTATGACTTGTTGTGGTTCGTCATGTAACGCCTCACATATTTGTCTTCTATGTATGTATGTATGTATTTATTACTATACACTTGCATTAATTTATCTACATAACTTGTCTGCTATCAGGTGCCCGCTGTGTTATTGTGTTCATTCACCTGACACATTGCTGCGATAAAAGTAAAATGAATCAACTATTTACACTTCAATACGCCGGCAATGAGTATTATTGTCACCAGTACAACGATATGTGTATATGAATCAGATTAAATTTCTTGTTGAAAAATAAACTTGTTGTGTCTAATTCAGCCGGAGTATGCTACTTAAGTATTTGCCTACATATACATATGTATGTATATACTTAGAATTGAATTAATTTTGTTATTTGATTACTTAGCATGCATTTTTATTATTTTATTATTTTTTTACAGATATAGGTATTCACTTATGTGTATTTAACTATTTTCTATGTATGTAGGTGCAAGCATATGCAGATCATTTCATTAACACAACATTAACACGTTTCGGTTAATCAGCTTAATTGGTTATCAGTAGTGAACATCTTTTATGAACCAATTTGATTATCGTTCTTTTCTTCTGTAGTGTATTCTTGATTAAAACTCTTCAATGAAAATCAAATGATTAGTTAATATGGCTTTGGTGCCGACTAAAATGGTATTTGAATATTTGAAAAAGATGCTTATCGCTTTTTACTGTGACTTGACAAACAATGGAATTTTTGGTTTGTCACAGTAGGGGATTATGATTTTGTAATAAACATTTTGGTTTAATAGTTATAACATTGTAGTGGCGTGAAGATGTTACAAAAACAACAACCGAGATCTGAGGCCATGAAGTAAATAGTACTCAAATAAACTGCATCCTTAGTTTTGTTCTATCACGTAATTTTTCTTGCTTTTAATTTTTATTAAGTTAGAAGCTATATCCTTGTCATAAAATACATTTTACTTTTTGGTACTTCATTTGTTTAAGGACAACCCTTGTAATTGTACGATTAATATTTTGGTTGAACCCCTTAACACAAAAAGTTCATATGTAGGTGTAACCAAAACACTATAGATACCTAGAAATATTGTGATGGCTACGGCGTTATTTATTTAGAGAGCTGTCTACATGTTTAATCAGAACAGATAATTTCTATGGTTACCTCTAGCGAATTACAAACTAAAGCAAACTACAAATTTAACAATATCATAAATTACCGATTTTTTAATACAAATTTTATCTTCTCTTCTCTATTTGCAGGCTACTAGTTGGTGCTCCTTTAGACAAAAATCTCCAGCCGGGTACAAATCAAACGGGTGCACTATATCGATGTCCGATTACACAGACCCTCAATGACTGTGAACAAATCATAACCGATGGACGAAGATGTAAGTTTTAAGGCCCATAATGGTGGTCAAATTTTTCAAAAAAAAAAAAAACAAAATAAAATCTCACACAAATTTTTTAAGCATTCATTTATTTTAATGCTTCGTAGATATTTCCTTCAGTTAGAATTTATTACTAAATGTAACTACAAAAATTAAACAAAAAAGTTAATTTTTAATCAAAAATACTTAGTTAGCTTTAATTACTTGTGGCCTATATAAATTCTTTAATGCTTTAATTCATCATTCTTCTACTTGGTGAAGGTTTTCGTGTTTCTTTTGTACTATCGCATAGTCAAGTGTTTTGTCACATTTTTGAAAAACCAAAACATTCCAAAATTTAGTGTGTATATTTAATTAAAGATGGTGTAATGAAATGAAAATTTCCTCTTTTTATTTTTTTATGACAAGGAAACTATATCTTAAAGAATTTTATAATTATAATAATACGTAATAAATAGGAGTGTAAATAATTTCATTTTTTCCATAATTAAAGAAATTTATGTAAGTCCTCTAATTTAAAAATGAAATTTGTAGTTAGCAAATTGGATGCTAATTAACATAAATAACAGAATTTAACGAGAATTTTGCAGTGAATAATACCTGTGCTGATTAGATACTTATTTACGAACTGTGTATCATTTATTTCTTAATTGCATAACTGAAACTCGAAAAATTTTTTTTGTACAGTAAACTGCCGAAAAATTGTGACTAAAACATTTTATAAAAACAAAATAATTTATTAATACTAAGAAAAAAGCCTCTTAATATTTTTATCGTTTAGATTATACATGTACACCCCTATATGCCGTATATAAGGGATGTTCTTATTTTCAAATAATTTTTAGTTTTCACAAAAGCAATTTGGGTAACAAAATTTTTTTCGTTGAAATGTCTACGACAGTTTGAATCGAATTCTTTTATTTCCAATTTGTTTACCTTTTTTATCGAATATTTTGATGTAAGCTGTTATATTGGTGAGATAGGGATATATAAAAACAAATCAAAAATGTAATATTAAATTTTCAATTAAAAAATCGTTAAAACCGGCATGCAGGGTCGAGAAAAATATTTCTTGTACAATTTATCTTTTACTTACTTTCTAAATTTAAATACTCAAAAAAGGTTTTTCGTTAAAGTAATAATGAAAAGCGCTAAAATATTACTCCAAAATTGGGATAAAGAATTTTCCGTGCACAAAAAATGAAATTCGTGCGCATAAAATAAGAACACCCCTAATGTATATATTACATTTATTGGCATACCGATTCAAATACATAATTTATGAAATAAATCTCCTTTATTGTATACATTTTACCGCCCTAATTTTCCCTTTTACCTACCTTTTAAACCCAATATGAAATTTATAAAATTTTTATTTTTTCTCTTTTTTATTTTCTTCCCCTTTTATACCGAAATCAATTTATAAAATATCCAAACACATTCCACATAATCGGTGCTCCATGGATTCCTTAAAATTGTAAAATATGAAACAAATATCAACTATTTCTTAAACAACTTCAACGAAAAAAATTTGCTTCTTTTGTAGCGCCTGAAGGAGTTTATGAACCTAGTAAGTGGTATGGGTGCTTTACTTGTTTATCAATTCCTAACCGATTTTTTTTT